AAGCTGAGGCCTCTTATCTCTGGGAGGAGCAGCACTTGGAGACAATTTAATAGCGTCTTATTTAATTCACTTTAGAGATTCTCGAACAATTCCATTGCCCATTTTCAGTTGGATCTAGTCTTATTTAATTATTCCACATTCACACAACTTATATTTTCATTGATAAGCAAATTCTATAATCAAAACATTTATTGTCTTATGGAAATTCCACACAAAACACAACTATATTGTCTATAAAAATGACACATAATCCAGTTAAGATAACCAACACTTTGATCATTCCCCATATTATCTATCCCTTCCTCCATCTTCTTCCCCAGGGTACAGTATATATTTTTTTCTCAATGGAGATTAGATTGTAGATTCTAGAATTTTAAAGAAATGGAAATATTTTTATTCTGGATTTTTCACTTGAAACTTTCAACTCAATCCTCCTATCTTCTCTACTCTCCCTGTTTTCAACTTTCTCTGTCTTTCTCCCATTGAAAGAGTTTCAGTAAAGAGATTTAGGATAATTCCATGGCACTGTTTATACCAAATGTGGCCTGAAGGCTAACTACTTTATAATCACACAAATATGGCCCAAATGTGCTAACTCACCTCTCTCCAGAACTCTTACTACACATGAACCAGTGTTTAGGGATATTAAAGTATAAAAACTAGCAAAACTTCTTAGGACTAATATCACAGTAGTGATCTTAGGACTTAAAGCACAGCAGTGCATAAGACTAAGTATCTTTAGAACATGACTCGTAACAGTTATTATCAATCCCTTTACAATACCTATTTGTGGTTTGAATTCCCTCAAGTGCAAACTTTACGGAGGTGCAAGAAAGCTCAGTCACACAGATGGACAAAACTTAAAATAATAATACTTGAAAAAAATAAACACAATAAAACTTGGGTAGCAGCGACAGTACAATGGGTAAGGGTCCTTGCCTTGCACATGGCAAACCTATTCAATCCCAGGCATCACATATGGTTCCCTGAGACATAGCTGGAATTATCCCTGAGCACAGAGCCAGGAATAAGTCCAAGAACCACTCAAGGTAACTCCAAAAGGGAAAAAAAAAAGAATCAAACAAAACCTAAGGATTTACCAGGAAATGAAACAATTTTCTTTTTGACATAATGATCGTTTTAATGCAATTACTGACATGTGGGGTGGCTACTGAAGTGGGACAGTGGAGCTCAGACATCCTGTTGAAGACAAAGCACTTTCTACTTGTTTACAATTTCAGATCCAGGTAGCTAAATGTGAACATTTCTCATTTATAGTTCCAGAGAAAATTTCTAGAATGATATCTCTTTAAAAAGAGGTTCCTTCCTTGCCAAAAACTGAGCAGCTGATCACAGCCATAGCTGCATATACAATTTTGTTCTTGACATTTTAGAAAGATCCAGAAAAGAGCTTCAAAAGTTCATCCAAAAGTGGATAGGAAGTAGGTGGTAGAAAGAAAGGCTACAAGAGTCATTCACTCTAAATTAGAGAGTATATGACAGATTTCAAATGTGTTAAGTTTTAAGGTGCTGGTGCTCCTCTGTTACCTTACATCTTCATAAAAACTAACCACTCCGACCCATAGATTTTCCTAGACAGATGATTTCCTTTTCTGAAGAAAAGGGGCCAACTAGATGACCTTTTGTGATCTCTTCTAGTTCTGAGCTTCTATACAAATATGAAAAAGCAAATAGCAAATAGACATCTAGTTCCTCCATGTGGGGTGATTTTCAATTCTACCCTGTTTAAAATAAGGTTGACATATCCTGGAACAGAGGAAAGAGTGAAATGTAAGAGTTAGGCAAGACTGGGTTTGAATATGCCTCTTAAACTTACTTTGGGTGAAGTTTAAGAGGTTAAGGTAATAAAGAACTCAACTCTTCTCGACTGTAGCATGGTAATAATCTCTGCCTCCTAAAATTCCTGAAAGGATTAACTAAACGAATGTTGGCAAAGCACCTAATGTTTTGGCTGGGACACGGTTAAATTTTTATATGTGACAGCTATTATTCTAGTTGGATAAAAATGACTTACATAGTTACCTTTAAGTTATAAAGAGAGGAACATAGAAATGGGACAGGAAGCAAGCAACCATAGTCCTGGTTGAAGTCCTGGGTGACACTTATGGTCTCTGGACACCACCAGGGGTCTCAAATGAGCGCAGATCCAGGAATAACCCTGGAGCACTGCTGGGAATGATCCCCAAATCCCTCTTCCCAAACAAAGTACAATCATAAAGAGAGCAATGCTATTCTGGTTATAGTAACATCACACTAGGAATATTTGAAGTTCAAAACTAGCATCATCTTGGTTGATGGGATCTACTCTGTTAACTCCAACTTTCCATGCGAAGAATGTCTCAACTTCCTCAGTGCTAAAAAGCTGAAATAAATTAAGGCAAGGTCTAAGATATCTTGGTATGAGTTTGGCTTTTTCAGAGAAATAAAAATAATTATTTTTTAAAAGATTCCAACTATTGTCCAAATATAAGTAATATATCACATCACTTTGAACTGAAATTCACACTAAGAAGAGTAAAAATATGAGTTAAAAAAGTAGCATACAAACCAAATTTATTGTTGACACTTTAATTATGATTTTTGTCCTTCATGAATGATATGAAGCTAAAAATGGAAGTCAGAAAAAAAATTAAACAGCCCTTACCACAATAAAATGCAGTGTTCAGAGCTGTATACTGAATATAAGAAACCTACTTTGGACAGACTTTTCTACAAAATGTTATTTTCTGGTATTGTATCAAGGTGGCGTTATGTATTTACTGTTGACAGAAAGACTCTGGTGTCTAAAACAGAACAGCTCTGATTTTCATTCTTTCCTAGTTGTGGAGTCTGGGTGGCTGTGGAGACTCAAGCAGAGGAAATACAGGACACAAATATGCACATAATGTGAGGCCCAGGAAAAAGTCGGCCAAGAATGTAGCCGGGTTTCCTGAAGCCCCTCTGTGTAGCTCAGAGTTGGCTTGGAAAGCAGGTCCTGATTCCATCAAAGGGGAAAAATGCTTCAGTTGATAGAACCAAACATTACAAACAAGAGTGCAGAACAATGCACTTTGAAGTGAGGGGAGTCACATGAAAGAGAAGCTTATTTTTGTTGGGAGAGAGCGAATAAGCACAGACATGACACATTGTAAAATGGCTCCAAATACATTAGGATACTGTACGTAGCCGTACATAAACCTGTCAACATCAGATCTAAAATGTCATTAAATCAATCCTGAGTAGGACTCTCATGTGCTGATGAAGCAAACCCCATACCGCCACAATACAAGCTTCACATTGTGGGGCCACATTAAAAATGAATGACTTGAGTTATTTCAAAGGCATAAAGTTCAAATGGCAACAAACTATAGCGCTGCTAAAGTAGTTCATAGATGCAAACCCTGAATAGCTTTAGGTCTAGGACTGTCATGACACATTTTTAGAAGCAAGGGTAGAAAACGTTCCTTGAGAACTATCATCTATCTCCCTACTTTGTTTACAGTTATTTTAATAGCTTCTTTCAAAACACAGATATTACAAATGACTACTAAAATAAGAAGGAAGAACAGCATGGTAAGAAACAAAATAAGAAGTTTAAGGAGAAGAAAAGTATGACACTACATAGGAAGGACAAAAGTCCTTTTTATCAAGGCGCTGTAGCACTGCACTGTCCTCCCGCTGTTCACCGACTTGCTCGAGCGGGCCCAGTAACATCTTCATTGTGAGACTTGTTGTTACTGTGTTTGGCATGTCGAATACATCGCGGGTAGCTTGCCAGGCTTTTCAGTGCGGGCGAGATACTCTTGGTAGCTTGCCGGGCTCTCCGACAGGGGCGGAGGAATCGAACCCAGGTCAGCCCAGTCTGCAGCATGTAAGGCAAACGTCCTACCCACTGTGCTATCGCTCCAGCCCTCAGAAATTAGAGTTTTAGTTCTGTTTGCTTCTTTCTGAGGCTCATTCAATGAATTGGTCTAAACTGCAGTTTCAATGTACGAGCTACTTCTCAGGAATAGGACAAACCTGTTAAGCAGTTTATTTGGTATTTTAGACCAGTTAGATTAATGCCTATAAAAGTCTGTTTAGAGGCTTAAGAAAACTATTTGCTTTCAGAAATAGAGATAGTTACATAATTTTTATCTCAATACCAAAGAGTTACTCCTGTTTTGGTCAATCTAACTAACCCAATCCTGTGAGGTAACATGTTTTTGACAGTAATAAGTGATGAATGAGGTCTGAATTCTAAAATTTAAATTAAACATTAAGTTATAGGAAAGGAATAAGAAAACTCCTCCTTATATAAATTTGATAGTTCTGATACATTCTCTAACACTTTAAGTTTTGATGATGATAAGCTCATCAAACATTTTATGGTACTTTAACCATGTTCTAATATTAGTGTCCTAAGTTTTTCCTTCATTTAATTTGATTTTTCCTTCCTTTTTTAAAAAATGAGAAATAGATATTAGTGCTTCAGTTCATTTTGGAAACGTGCCTTGTGAAGGACTTTAGAAATATTTTTCTTTCTTTTTAAAAATGACCTTCCAATAAAAATAATAGACTTTTCATATAACAAAGCTAAAAGCAAGTAACATCAGACTCTGCGAATATGGTCATGAAAGGACAGGGTGGCCAAGTGCTAAAATTATTTAAAACAGTCTAACAGAAAGCAAATAAAGTATTATTCAGGAAAAAGCACTCAGAAGGCTGAGTTATGAGAAGGCTGAGGGCATAACTTAATTTTCATCCAGTACCTGTACCAGGGAACAATACTTGTTTGAAATAAAATCCTTCCTGGGAGGAGCCAGAAAGGAAGATGGATACCCTAAAACAATGCTCTGTGTTTCTTTTCTTTTCTGAGACGCAGTGGGGGACCTAACATAGCTGAAGGCCATATGAAGTGGGGTTTTCTATATTGATCTACCAAACAGCTGTGGATCTGGGGAGAGAGAACTCTTTCTCCAGCTCAACCTTACTACATTGGTCTTGGTTTTTTGGTTTACCTGCCATATGCAAAACGCCTGTCTTTGTGATGATCGCCAAAAGTATCCCAAAGCCTTAGAGAAACACTCACTTCATCAACGACATCCCGTGATCGCTCCAAGACCTGTGGGGAGAAGTGGATAACGCTGCTCAGGGTCAAGGGAGGATGCCTGGCTTGGCCACCAGAGTGCCCACTAAACTTCACTTGCAATTTGTCTCCTAATGTCTCCTACTTAGTTTATGGAAGTCCCCGTTTTCTTAGTGGATGAAAATGCCGTCTTTCTGGATCCCATAGCCAGACAGCAGGATTTACGTTCTGCTCTTTTCCTGTGTGGTGCTAAAAAAAAGTTTGTGTTTTAAAAATGCTAACACTCCCCGCTTCCAACTCCCCCTATCCCGACTTTTAAAGTCAAACTAGCAGTACCAATGACGTGCTCTTAGGAGTCAAAACCAAACCCAAACAAAACACCCACTCCATCTTATCTTACCTCCTGGCAGACCCGGTACTGGTCAATCGCCCACACAGTTGGTACGTGGGTGGCCAGCAGCTGATACTGTGTGAGGGTTGTATTACACGCTCTGGCACATATCAAGCGGGTCTTCCCCACAGCGTTGTCCCCCACCACCACACACTTGATGGTTTCAACGTTGGGCCTTTCATAGTCCATGTCAGTGTCCATTTATAAAACTCTGTTAAGAAAGAGCAATGACACTGCATTATACGCCGGGGCAGTCTCCTGTTGGTCCCAGCACTGCTCTGGGGGTACTCCAGCCTAAACAAGAAATTAGGGAGATCATATTATACCTCGCTAAAAGCCAAGTTTTCTCTTTATAGCTCACACAAGTATGAAAACACTGGATTGTTATTTTGACCCCAAATAATTATTTCAGTTTTCATGTTATTTTCTCCTTGGTTCTCTCTAAACATAACCTGCCTGCTGATCCATCCAGACGAACCAGGGACTGCTGGCACACATTTATTGCTCCCTCGCTACTCATGTTGGTCTGGATAGAGACTGGTCACCTGCAGGTTTAACCCTAAGCTCTGGGGCATCAGCTGCCTTGGAAATATCAGGATCCATATCATCAAAATCTTTCCATGGTCCAATAAGCAGCAGTTTTCTCTATGTGCTAGGCTATTATGGTGAGTGATATAAAGGATAGTCAGAAGTCTAAACTCCTCTACTTTAAAGATAAATATGATGTTAGGCTGGGTTTTGATATGTTGGAATCACGGTCACGGTAAATATCACGGTCCTCCCATCGTTCATCGATTTTTTCAAGCGGGCCCAGTAACGTCTCCATTGTGAGACTTGTTGTTACTGTGTTTGGCATATCGAGTATGCCACGGGGGCATGCCAGGCTGTGCCGTGTGGGCGAGATACTCTCAGTAGCTTGCCGGGCTCTCCGAGAGGGGCAGAGGAATCGAACTTGGGTCGGCCATGTTGGCTGCTTGTAAGGCAAATGCCCTACCACTGTGCTATTGCTCCAGCCCATGTTAGAATCATTCGCTTATATTTACTCATTTATTCTATTAATCAAACTTGTTTAAATCAAGACAGTCACAAAAAACACTGCACTGTAGCACTGTCCTCCTGTTCATTAATTTGCTCGAGCAGGCACCAGTAACATCTCCACTGTGAGACTTGTTACTGTTTTTGGCATATCAAATACGCCACGGGGAGCTGGCCAGGCTCTGCCGTGTGGGTGGGATACTCTCAGTAGCTTGCCGGGCTCTCCAAGAGGGAGACGGAGGAATCGAACCCAGGTCGGTGGCATGCAAGGCAAACGCCCTATCCACTGTGCTATCGCTCCAGCTCTGTGCAATCGGTCCACTGTAGCACTGTCCGCCCACTGTTCATTGATTTGATCTAGCAGATACCAGCGATGTCTCACACTAAGATGTGAGATTTGTTGTTACTGTTTTTGGCATATCGAATATGTCATGGGTAGCTTGCCAGGCTTTGCCGTATGGGTGAGATACTCTCGGTAGCATGCTGGGTTCTCTGAGAGGGGTGGAGGAATCAAACCTGGGTGGGTTGCATGCAAGGCAAACGCCCTACCCGCTGTGCTATCGCTCCAGCCTGTGCTATCACTCCAAGATATAAAAATATTCTTCCTGCAATTTCAGCAGGAAAATCTCGACCATATAGTAGAGAATAATTTTACCCAAGGAAGAACTACTCTGGAATCTTCCTGAAACCATTCAAAAAGAGTTTACAAGGGCTGATAAATGAGGGGTCAAGAAGAAGATGGAAAGCATGGCCAGCTCAGCTACTCAGGGGGCCAAGCAGATGGCCTCTTATGGCAGCTGAGTGGGTGACCAACTGTGCATGATTTTAAGATTTTAAAATATTGTAATTTTCCTTTTGAGGAGGCCTATTGTAAAACTGACAAAAATGATTAGGTATTCATTTTTTTAGAGCCCAGTAAGTTTTTTTTTTTAAACTTACTACAATAAAGAAACTATTCCAACTAGGGCCTAATGCATTCTTGGGAGTCAGGAAGTGTTTAACTCAAGTGATGAGAAAAATGTTTACTTGGGTAAAATGAAATTAAGGGCAGGAAAAGAGCAAGCACTATGGGAATAATTTGAAGAAGAATGCCTTCTCTTTATCAAGATTATCTAAATATGGGGAACTGACTCCTCGCACACTCACAGAAGTGTGAAACCCAGGGATGGTAGGATTGGTGTGGGGTGCTTAAAGCAAGAGGTGTTTGCTGAGGCTGTGATCCTACCAATGTATCCTGTAAGGTGGAGGGGCTTCAAATAGGTACCGGTCTCACCTGGAAAATGCTGACTATGACAACCTTGTAAGGAAAAAGAGAATCTTTTAGAAAAAAAATCTTTAATTCTAATTAAAAAATTCCAATTGTGATAATCATCCAGGTGTGTGTGAGACCTAAAAGAGATGACTTTTTTTTTCTTTTTGGGTCACATCCAGCAATGCTCAGGGGTTATTCCTGGCTCTGCACTCAGGAATCACTCCTGGTGGTGCTCAGGGGACCACATGGGATGCTGGGAATGGAACCATGGAACCTGGGTTTGCCACGCGCAAGGCAAACACCTTACCTGCTGTACTATCTCTCTAGTCCCTTAAAAGAGATGTCTTTAGAATTTAGTCTCCAGCTGGGAGAACACTCAAAGGGCTTCAGCACATGCTTCAGCACATGCTGAGCCCTGGGTTTGATCCCTGACACCTCATGAGCCCCTGAGCAACCTCTAGGGTGGTCCCTGAACATTGCACCAGAGCAGCTCCTGGATGCTTGAAATTCTATGGTTTTATTTGTTCTCTATTAAAAAGTGAAATATAATACAGATGTGATGTTGGCATTAGGTTGGTGACTCCTAAATATCCACCTCTCTCACTCTTTGGAAATTTTTTTGCTGTCATAGTTGGGTTGGGGGAGTTTAATGTCTTCTAGTGGGCTGAAGTCAAAATACCACAAAGCATATTACGAAATCTGGGGCAGCCTCAATCTGGGGCAGCCTCCACAAAGAATTACCCGGTTCCAAATGTAATGGTGCTGATCCTGTCTTAGATAGATGTGAATTTCTGCTCATTTGATTTTGAGCACTTAATTTGCATTTCTTGAGTCTAAGCTTTCTCATCTGCTAAATGGAAATTAGAATATCTTTCTCCCAATGTTGTTGTGAGGATTAGGGTGAGCTGATGTTTCAAATTCCTGACAGAGTACTTGACACACTGTCACTGTCACTGTCCTCCCATTGTTCATCGATTTGCTCGAGCAGGCCCAGTAGTCTCCATTGGAGACTTTGTTGTTACTGTGTTTGGCATATCGAATACATCACGGGTAGCTTGCCAGGCTCTGCCATGCGGGCGAGATACTCTCGGTAGCTTGCCGGGCTCTCCGAGCGGGGCAGAGGAATCGAACTCGGGTCAGCCATGTTGGCTGCTTGCAAGGCAAACGCCCTACCGCTTTGACACACTGAGAGCTTAAAAAATAAGAATCACAAAGCTGAAGAGAAACATGTGAAGATAATAACAAAACGAAGTCTGGTGGAAGACCAGAATTGGATACAAACTCATAAACAATGAAAAAAACCATAAAAGGATAAATTTTAGTAGAACAATTTAAGAGTAAATCACTCAAAATTATGAAAGATCATAAAGACAAAATGAAGCAGAGCTGACCATAGGCAGTGAATCAAGAGAAAGTTCTGGATGGGGAGACACTATCCAGAAGGTCATAATTGACTAAAGGATAATAGAGTTGGAAGAGAAGATTCAAGTATGAGTATTTATAGATTTTTGAATTAAAAAATGGCAATGCTTTTGATGACATTACCATGGGGCTGCCTGTGTCAGAGAAAGAGTTTCCACTGGAAGTTTTACATCGTTGGAATCTAGAGTTACATTATTTTAAATGCCTTAAGCGAGAAAGCCTATTTTGCTGTAAATTTAAATTTTTTACCTGTCACTGTCACTGTCCTCCCATTGTTCATCGATTTGCTCGAGTGGGCCCAACAAGTGAGACTTGTTGTTACTGTGTTTGGCATATCGAATTCACCACGCATAGCTTGCCAGGCTTTGTGGTGAGGGTGAGATACTCTCGGTAGCTAGCCGGGCTCTCTGAGAACAGCGAAGGAATCAAATTCGGGTCAACGGGGTCAGCCGCATTCAAGGCAAATACCCTACTTGCTGTGCTGAGTGATATTACAGTGGGTAGGACATTTGCCTTGCCTGTGGCAGACACAGGTTCGATCCCCAGCATCCCATATGGTCCCCTGAGCACCGCCAGGAGTAATTCCTGAGTGTAAAGCCAGGAGTAACCCTTGTGCATAGCTGGGTGTGACCCCACAAAAAGTCTTAGTTTTATGTTAAGACTATGATCACACGAACACAAAAGAATCATGACTTATTTTACCAATAAAAACGTCTCATGCACAGTCCTAAAAAGAATTTCTGTATCAATTTCTGTATCTGTGGGTCCTCTAAACTCTATCAGTCTGCTTAAAAGTGAAAAACCTCACACACTGGTCATGAGTGACTGCCAGAGGTGCTGGATGCTGGGAAAAAGAAGACAAAAAGACAGAACACAAAAGAAATGAAAGGGCAGAATTAAATGCTTAGTTCAGATTACACACTTTGGTCATGAAATTTCCAGGAGAGAGAGTCTGCAGAATTTTCAAATAATAAAAAACAGTTGGGGGGGGATAAAATTTATTTTATGTTAATCTACAAAGCATTTTAAGCATATGAAGTCATAGTCAAAGGTGTAAATTCATGCTATGCTTATATTGTTATAAATTGATTGTTCATCTGTTACACATAAACAAATAAACATTAAATTATGTTAGTAATTATGAAAAATACAATTTTATCCTTCTAATTCTGGTCTCTAATTTATTCATATTTTTCTCTGCTATGGTTGAATGAGCTCTTGGGACCATCTGGATAATGACTATCTGGTTTCTGATTTTTATTTATGTAGAATGAGAGTAATAAATATTATTCATTTAATACTGATCATAAATTTAAACACCATAAATCCCACTGATTTCTACTTTTCGCCTTTGGATCTATATCTAAAGAGATAAGAAAGTTAAATAAGAAAAAGAAAAGCTGGAAAGAATGGAAGGTGACAATCTATTACTGTGACAGCTTTATAATCAAGTCACAAAAACAAACTTGAACTTTATTTCAGATATTTACTTCATCCTCAGG